TAGGAGCCTCACGAGACAGACAATGCAGCTACTATTTCTATCTTTTTAGGCTGATATTTCTTGAAATTATTTTCATTTTTCCAAGACATTCCTCTCTACAAAATTTTTTGATACAGTATAATGTAAAATACACAGCAACACACTTCAACTACTGAGTAAAACTTACTTGAGCTCAAAAGCTCTGTAAAAAAAAGCAGATACAAAAGATCTGATTAATCTGAATCCATGAAGAGCACTACATCTTAGAGGTGTAGGAGAAGAAAAAAAGTGGTAAACAAATCTTGGATTCTCAAGGGAATTGTTATCAGTTCATCAGTTTTAGTGACAAAAACAGTCATTTTAAGCAACTATGTTATTTTAAAAGATTTTACTTCCAAGTTACAGCTCAACAATTAGCAGATACAAATTAACCAGCAATGCCTCCACACAAAAACCCCCAACCCAAACCACCACTGAGCAACTATGTTATTTTAAAAGATTTTGCCTCCAAGTTACAGCTCAACAATTAGCAGGTACAAATTAACCAGCAATGCCTCCATACAAAAACCCCCAACCCAAACCACCACCATTAACGTTATTGTCCAAAGCTTATTTTGTAAAAAAAACAGCTACTAAAGAAAGGTCAGTTAATTCATCATGATGGATTATCACTAAAATTTATAAGCATTAGCATTTTTCTCCTTGCTGGATACCTTGACTTTGATATGACACATATTGAGTGAATCATCCAAGATGCAGGCACCAGGCAAGATATATCTTAATGCAGACGGGTCGGCAACGTGAACCCTAATGGGCCTTATCTTAATCTTGTTTAAAAGCATCTTAGATTTCTCAGGAATCTTTTCACCTTCTGATAGTCTCTTTTATAGAGTGTTTTTGCCAGAGTTGCTACTGATTTTCACATAAATGCATTTTTGTTGCATAGGATCACCTATTTTAGTAGCCTTAAAAATTATCTTTGCAATTTAGTAGATGTTAATATGCAGCTTGTTCTTAAAAAGTCGACGTGTCAGAACTCTAACAATGGCAACAAAAATTTGGATGTTGTTGTAATTATTCCATTCATGAAACTTGGCATCACAGTTGTTGGTAACATAAATGGACACCTATCCCATGTGATGTGTATCTGATGCACTGCTTTCTTCCCATTCACACATTTTCCTCTCCTGCATTATTAACCTTGGATACCTGCCATATGTATGCTTTAAACAGTCACTCTTCAATTAAAAATGTGTTCAGTCAAATATCTGACTAAGATAAAGGCAAGTTTCTCTACTATTGGTTTTTCCATATTCACATTGCATCTAGTAATTCCAAATTACACAGGAGTAACAAGGTGGCAGATTTCCCACAGAACTGCACAGAGCTTTCTGCTGCAGCTGCTTTGATAAACAACAAGGGGTGGAGAGGCACAGAGGAAAATAACAGGGGAATTATTTTTAATTCAGATTTTTTTGTAGCAATAGCAGTTCCTACATTAGGTAAAAAGGTGTTTAGAAAGTACCTTCTCAGCCTGACAAGATATTTTCTGAAACAGATCGTTAGGAAAGGACACAGCTTCACACTGCTGTGGGACTTTAGATTCTTTACAAAACAGCTAAATGACTTTCTATAGATGATAAATACCTCAACATAAGGGGCACTCCAGAGCAAAATAAGACAAGTGACTGCTACCTCTTCCTGGCATTAGATACCTTCTTGAAAGAAAATTAGAATCTCCCAGGAAATAATGTACCTGAAGAAATGCTAATAGAGAAAAATGCAACGCCATCACTGGGTGCTCTCTGCATGCACTACACTGGAGGAAGGAGCAGGTGGCTCAGACACCAGCTCCCCAGCAACCTACCCTGCTGACATTTCTAACGTTCATCTCGGATGTTCTGTAAGCAGCATCCAGTTTTCTCATTTTATGATTAGGTTAATGTGGTGACATTTAGAAATTTTACTTGCCCTCTATTTATTTGCACATGGAAGCTTTCTAGTAGGTTGATATCTTCTAGGTGAGGATAAGATTTTTCTTCTATTATAAACTTCGGAAGTCTGAAACAAATCACTAAATTTCTACCAGAGTTTGTTTCTCCAGCTCTAATATCAATATAGGGGCCATCACTTTCACCAAGTATTGGTAGATTAATTCTTCACAAAGCAACCTGAAATTCCAGACAGAATCTAGAGAAATAAATGCGTTGAATTCCAGACTGTGAAGGTCAGATGTATTATTTGTTCTATTCCTGCCATAAAGTTATTTTATCTACAACATCCTGTAACGTATCCATCCTGAATAACAAGACAAGCAGTAAGAGAACCCTGCCTGGCTGCTAGCTTGAGGGTCCCAACACTGCCCATCACAAACTGCATCAGGCAGGGTTCTCAACTTCTGCCTCCTGTGGCAGGTGTTAAACCCTCCATTCTTCCCATTCCCATAGACTGAGGCCAAGAAGTGCTCCTTTACCATGCTTACAAGAAAAAAAGAACATAGATCTGTATTCCAGGAATGTGAACAAAAGTCTGTGAAATCCAAAGTGAATGGAAATGAATGAAAGTCAGATGCTATGTCTGTCTGCTTGTATATAAACAAGGAAAGTAACACACAGCTTACTACCTGAATTAAATAAATAATGGGCTTTCCAGAAAAATAAAATTTACTTTATTTACAAAGCAAAATAATTAAGGCTAATTGTCAAAGAAGTTTTCAGGTAAGCAGATAAAAATGTGTGGCATGAGGTACTGAGACAGAGCCATCCAAAAAGCAGAGACATTAGGTGTTTCCAGAGCAAAAGACATCAGTGCTCAGTCACAAACTCTTAAAACAAAAAGAGAATCCTGCACTGAAAAACACACCTGCAAGTGTAACCTGACTGAAATCTGATCCACAGGCCTAAATTCAAGCTCCATTAGACTACCTGGATAGATAGTGCTCAAAATGCAGAGCACTGCCCTCAGCAGTCCAGATTTAAAAAGTTTTCATTTTTTACTTATTCCAAAGTTGAACTTCCAATTCATAAAACAGATGGAGACCTCAAAAAATCTGCTTAACTCATAATAATTAATTTAGTGAGGTACATGACAACATACATCAATTGGATAGCCTTGAACAATTTTTTTAAAAGCTGCAGTTATTTAAAGGGATGTACCATTTCCCCACAAAAATCTCTGAAAATCAGTTTTGAAATGCAAATGTGCAGGTAAGCAATATTCTATATGATGATGGCAGAAAAATACCCTGTTTTCCCTGCACTAATATGCTTATGCTTACATTATTCTGTGCTTTCAACATATTAATCTCAGACTTAAAGGCAACGCAATCCAGAATAAAAGTAGTAGAATGAAAAAGGGCATCCGTAGAAAAATATCAGCAATGTGATTTTAAAATATCATCCTTCAATTGTCTGCAATTTATATTTATCAATACTTTCACTAGGATCATGGAAGTGTTCCCACAAAGAAAAAAAGAACCACTCAACGTGTTTAGCTAGGTGACCTTTCAGTGAAACATAAGGGCAGTGAGAGGGGGAAGGGGACCAGAGCTGTCCAGCAATCTCTGTCCTCCTTTATTAAATGTCATTACAAAGTCTTGCTGTACTTTCAATTCAGATTACTATTCTCATAAAAACTTCCATAAATATTTGTCAGGTCTGTATCCACAGGATGAACTATCACACACCGTTCAGCACTGCACGCTGCAGTAAGAGAGTAACCATGATACTGAAAACTGAAATTTAAATTCTCCAGTTTAAATTCTGAAGTACATTGAATGCAAAATTTCTTTTCAGATAACTTTATGCCTAAGTGCATAATTTTGTGAGCTAGGTTAAATAAATTTATAGTCAGTAATCTGTTTTTTTCAGCGATTGTACATTACCTGGTCTAATGTGGTCACCTAATGGTTACTGTCAGTAATTGCAGTGATGGCTGAAATCCTTTACAGACACACAGTGAAGAAAACACCCTCACTTTGCAGCCTCTTCAGTTCAATAACAAAACATGAGGGTTTTGTAAAAAAGAAGAAATTGGTTTTATTTCATTTAAAAAAAAATATTCTCTGTTAAGGAACCTTAAGGATGAGTGAAATGGTCAAAAAAAAAAAAATCTTACTTCCATTATGCTGGGGGTTTTGCTCATTTGGTAGGGTTGTTTGGGCTTTTTTTTCTGACAGGTTTGTTTTGTTTATTGAGTGGATTTTTAAAAATAATAAATGAGGGTTTACAACTTAACAAGTCACACTCCAGCCAAGATTACAAGGAAAATGAGCATGAATTGAGAGAATAATATTTCAGGTTTGTATTCCTTTTCCTCAGAGCTAACCAAAAATAACAGTAAGAACTAATAGAAAAGCAGAACTACTGTGAGGTACTGATTAACCATAATTAGACCTCTGTTGCCAGTGAAATTAGATATTGCATAGTTTAAAATTGAGAAATCCAATCCCTTTCAGCCAGTGCCAGTGAGCAATCCCCCCTGACTCAAGAAAAATATACTAGAATCTCCAATGCAGTGAAATGGAACAAGAAAGAAGGAGAGAAAGAATTAAGTGGATGAACACTGCATTCCAGTAATGTACAAAGCACGTGCAGAGGCACCCTTGCTGCTGGGTTATACACACAAAGTTCCCCTGCATGACGTGTGTTCACAGGAGATTTTTACTGATTTTTTTGTTGTTGTTTAAATAACTTCAAAACATTGAAGGAAACGATTTAGGAAGAAACTGCAAATAAATCTGGCTTTTCTTCTGGTAAAACTAATCAAAATGATTGTACTCATTAACTAAGACAGACACCTGTTGAAAGCATATGCACATGTTTTTTCACAAAAATAAACTTTCATGTCAGCCAACAAGAGAGATCCAAGAAATGACAATATAATATAATCACAATGTATTCTCACAATGTATTTATTTTATAAACATTTGTATGTATTGACACAAAGCAAAAGATTACAGGGTACATCTTCAAGAAGAGTGTGTGGTTTCAGAGGAAGAATACGAATTAAGGTTTCCTTACCTTATAGGATGGCAAAAAGCACAAGATTCCTTGGCCAACTGTTTGGCACACTGACAGCAGAAGTGCTCCCACCTCATCTTGGAACTCAAAGGTCTCCGTGTGCTGGAACGTGGCGCACAGCTTCCGACCGTTAGGGCCTGCTCCAATGGTACCAACCCAAACCTGGTGTATTTCAGATTTTAAAAGTTAATTCTAATATATGTGACACACTGCATTAAATTAGGTTAAATAATGAAATTTTAAGTGTGAAGGAAAATACTGAGATATTTCTAAACAAGTTAATTCCAGCACTTTAAAACAGAAGAAGTGCAATAACTGATATAAGATGGCTATTACCAAAACAGCATAACTTCAACATTTCCAGAGCAGTGAGTATGTAAAAATTACTCCTTTTTTCATTTGAAAACGTACTTCACAATTGCATTTGAAAAGGTACTTTATAATTGGACTAACCCAAGCAATAGTCTGCTCTGCACATTTCTTGTTCATTCAGAACGGGTTTGTCATCCTTTTTATTGGCAAGTTATGGTTTCTTTTAGAATGGCCAGCACTGGACCTCAGGAGGGGGAACAGCAATGCAAAAGTTTACCTGTGAGTTACGAATAACGTGATTTGCCTCCAGCTGAATAGAAAACTTCACACCAAGCTCTGAAGAAAATGAATCCATTGGAGAGAGTGTACCAGATGTCAGAACGATTGTTCGAACATCGCTTAAGTCTGAAAAAGCCTAGGTTGGAGAAAGAAAAGAAGAAATTTAGAAAACCAATACAACCACTGTAAGATCTTATATGTTATCACTCAAGCTAAGATGTTATGCTTTGCACTCAGCTTACCACAGCAGGATTCAAGCACCAAAAATTCAGCATGTGGACTACGGTTTTCTGCCGCAAACTCCTCTTATGCTTGGGCCGTGTAAAGAAGGAACTTGTATCTGAAACATCAGGTTGGTTTTCATTCATCCAAGTGTAAGTTTGTTGTAGAGCAACTTTGTAGTCATCTGCATACCTATGCAAAGAGACAGAAATATCAAAAGAAACTACAGTTAAACAAACTGTGAGCATTAAGCTCATACAAAGCAAAGACAGCGTTGCTACAATGCATTTATAATTTAAGTATAAAAAATAATTTTATACTTTCTGAGTAAATAGGAAAACTTCAAAAAAGTTAGTATTTAAAAATAAGGTTTAAATCAGACATTTTTAGTAACTGCTGGCATTAGCAGTCAAGATACCAAGACAGTCAAATGATAAGTGCTGTGTAGAAGAACAAAACCTATGCAGGCTTAACTTGACAACACATCAAGAAAGTTTACACCTAACCTTCAAATAAATTTCTTTTAATTTATGAACAAAAAAGGATAATCTGTGAGTATTGAAATTCTTTCCACACAAATAGATTTTCCAAAGCTTTTGGAAACGTCAGTTTTGCTCAGAAGCCCCACACCATAACAGAGGTGTTCACAAATGACAGAGGCAGTCTGGCAAACCAGCTGCATTCACCACCACACAGCTCAGGATATGTATTAGCACTGACCTGCTATTATCTTTAAAGAGAAATAAAAGAACCATAAATAACCCTTTCAGCACCATCTGAGTGGCAGGGCTCACAATTGGTATCTCAATAAGTTCCTCTTTACCAAACACTGATATTTTTTCTTCTTTTTCCAGGACAGCAGCAAAATGTTTCTATAAGAGGCAAACAAATTGCACATTAACAACAATCTTATCAAAAACAAAACTAATACAAATACAAGACTGTCAGCACACTTTTCTCAAAGTTCACTTAAAATACCTACAAAGTCAGACTGGAGACAGAATGGGAAAAGTAACAATGCTTTTAACACATTTGACTTACATAGAAAGGACAGATAAACCCCAAAATAGGGTAAATACATTTCAGCAATCAATAAAAGTGCAGATAGAACAGACAAAACTCTCACTGACTCAAAAGTTCTATTTAAACAATTGTACATGATCAATTATAGCCTTTAAAACATTGATTCTCCACATACTCCAATAGCCCCAGTGGATTACTCCTGGTTTTCATCAGGTATCATTTTGAGAGAGATTGCAGTAAATTAAAAGATCTGTTAACATTTAACTTCTGTACACTTTCAAATGTTTCACATCACTATTATGCACTCTGGTACTCATTTACATAGCATACAATATTACCTGTAAAATGGGAAAAGTAATACCAGTTATTCCCATCTTGTGTAAAATAGGCAGCATTTCTTTTCCACTCCAAACTTTACAGGAAGTTTCATACCCTCTTTCTACTAGTTGACTAGAGCTGTCCTTTAGCCAGCTGTAAAAAGAGAAAAACAAGAAATAATTTCATCATTCTTTTTTTAATTATTTAGAGATACTTTCCAGGTACAAACCTAGCATCAAAAATTGCCTGGTATGATGTTGATAACTATTACACTACATTTAAGTAGAGAGATTCTGCTTCTTCCTTCACCAGTTTTTCACTGTTGAACAAAATTCTACAGAACTGCTCTTGATCCAGCATATTGAAGTGAGAGAAAAAATTTCCTCTATACATTTATATTTTATCATCATATCTCTATGATAAAGAAAAAAGGATTAAAAGATATTTTCTTATGTCAGTCTCATTTCAGAAAGATTTCTGCTGTCCTTTTAAAGTCTCTTATTATTTCTCTGACCAATGCAAGTTGTTTTATCTTCCCTGTCAACTGCAGGCTTTCCTGTTAAAAACAAATCTTGAGGCAGGAAATGAATACTTTAAATACTGATACACAGCAAGGAAAGGTAGTGCTATAAAAAAAGTGTGTTTTAACCTACCTATGGAGTAATTAATAACTTGGCTGCAATCTGACAATTAAGCAGAATTATAATTATACTGACAAGGCAAAATGTGACAGGACTTTCTGAAAGCTTGATCTAAGCATGCAGACCAACTCATTTGTGGCAGAGCTAAAATCTCCTCTAACTGAATGATTCCTCCATCATCCCTGCAGTGTGACAAGACCTTGGGTCCAGCCGAGCAGGCAGGCCTCCTCCTGCCCAGGAAATGCTGAAGCTGTCTGTTCCATCAACCAGCAGGAGGCATCAGGAAGACAGCTGTCATTCCTACAACCATCCAAAATATTGATCTGTGAAATGGGCTGATCGTTACCCCTAACACAGCGAGGCTTAGCAATCATCTCACTCCCAGGTTTCCTCTCCCTTTGCTGCAAATAACCTGATCAATGGACAATTAAAAAAATCCCTTTGCCTTTTGACAGGTTAAATGCAAAAAAACCCCTATAATTACTACCATAAGAATAGTTTCTTTGGCTGTAACTTGCATTATCTTATTAAGGAATGATGATCATTAACACAGGCAGCACCTCACCAGTGTAGTACTCTGCCCCATTTCCCCAAATGTAACATCAAAAAGACCTGACACTAAGATTAGGAAAAGGACACTCTACCAGAAATTAAACAGGTTTACAGTGGACAAAACATTTCAGCAAATATGAAACTTCTGTTTCCCTGTTCTGACCTTCCAACATCACCACTCACTTTTGGAATGGTCATGCTAGAAAAGCAGATACAAACTTACCACAATGACCTTCCCTAGTACTGAAGTATCACAAGAAAAGCAAATTCTAGAATTAATTCCATCCAATTAAATTTGAACTTAAAGCATTTACTTAAAATACCTGTTAATTTATTTTTAGAGTAAAGCAGTAAGCATAAATAAAATGAGTTTGATTCCCAGAAAGGTATCTATGGTTTTGAAATGAAAATTGGCATATGCAATATTTTCTGGAAATGATTTAATGAACGTTACAAACATGCCTTCAATTCAAGCAAGTATATTTTCTCCCTCCCTCCCAGAAAATCCCATTGTTGATAAAGCTGACTCCACTGAACACAGTAATTTTTCCTGGTAAACCTGCATCTCAGAGAAGCTGGCCAGTGTACCTCTATCAGTATATATTCCAATTCCTCAGAAAGGTCCTTTTAGCACCTCTGTGGCACTAAGCCCATGCACAAGTGCTTTCTGGAATGAGAGTCCAGGATCTTTATAACTGAAATAAGAGTTTTCTAATTACCAATGCATCTGGCAAAGCCATGTTACTATGCAACAGCCTTTTACCAGTTACCAACCATTACACCCAGTCTCCTGCTTTCCAACAACTGCTTTTCATGCTGTTGGCAGATTTGCCAAGACAATCAACCTTAGTTTTTCTGATAAGGTTAAAAAGCTTGAGGCAATCCCATCTCCAGCCATGCTGTTCTCATCTTTTACTATAATTTAACATTTGAAATATCCAAGGTAGGAGAATTAGCTTCTGCAAAAAAATAAAAAGTCACTTGTCTGTGACACCTTAACTCACACAATACAGAAGGGACAGGGAAAATGGTGAACTGTTTGCTGTAGTGCTCTCCAAAATCTATTTCATCAACTACTAATGCAACAAATGATGATTTGACATGCACTGAATCAGAGCTCAGTTCACTTCAAAGCCACTTGTATCGTTATTCACTTTCTTTCAGCTGATTTTGCTGGTCAAGGATTCAGTAGCAGGGCTTTTCTGAACTCTTTCAGTGCAGGGATCCCTCAAAAGACGGGTTCAAAAATGAAGTGCTACAGAGATGAATTCCAAATTCTCTAGTGGGGACTGACTTCTGACATTGTTTCAACTTTCTCATGTTCTCACTCCATGCAAAATACTTTTGCCCTTGACCCCTTGTTTCTTTCCCTCCTTCCCAAGCTTTTGCCCCAAGTTCATTTGCTTCTGTTCCATCCCCTCTAATCATTCTCAACTTCTGCTCAGATCACCCCCTTACAATTCTGTCTCCTTAGTTTCTGGGGCTGACCTTCTCTTTAGCTCATGCTGTCTTCTCTCTGCTTCTTTCTGCCCTTGTACCCATAGAGGAAGAGAAGAATGTTTTGTAACTTTTCAGCTTTTTTCTGCCTTACTGGTTAGCTCTTTTTTTCAAAACCACTCTTTTGCCCAAGAATAACCCAAAATTCAAAGAGATTAGTGCATACTTGGTGCAAAGAGTTTGCTACCTGAATTCTCTAAAGACCTCAAAATGTCTCTCCTAAGAATTTGCATGCACCCAAATGTTTCAGACTCTTCTCTCTGCTCAAGTTTGAGTTGTTTCACAGGAAAAAAAAAACAAACAACAAAAAAAAAAAACATGACTCATAATTCTTCTCTCCACTATACAGAATCTGTTCCAAATAGATTCCAAACAGATTCCACTTGTTGTGCACACTGCCTGTGAAGGCCCTGAAAGCATTTATAAATGAGAACTGATTAATGCTTTGACAAATTACTGCTATTACTAGTTGTCAAATAAGCAAACAGAAGCATGTGGAAAGGCAAGAATTACTTATCTGGGGTAAAATTTTCCTACAGAACTTCATAACCTAGGACAGCAAACCCCATAGAGATCAGCACATCTTTTAAGAGCACAACACAATTTTCAAAACAGAATTTCAATGCTTTCCTTTGAGAAAGATGAGTATTTTTTTTTTTAAATCTATCAAAACCCCTCTGCATTCCTTAAATGAAGAAATATCAGGCAACATGCATAGTTTCAAATATACATCTGTTGCATTTCATCTCATGCAACATAGTAACCAGTAAATTGGCTCGGCAAAAGAAATAAATGTGTGATTTTAACAAATACTAATTGCTATCATGGTGTTTTAAAAAAGAGTCATCTTACTTAGTCAAGGAGCAGCACACAGCCAGCAGGGCCTCGTGATCCTTCTGTCTGATGTTGTTACTGACCATGAAGTCCAGCTCCTCCCGAGCAGCTCTGAGCTGATTTTCTGTGACACCATAGCTCACTGACTCCCGAGCACAGTCCTCAACGTTATGGGCTTCATCTAAAATCACCACTTGGCCTTTTAGGTTAATTTCCATCTAAAAAATAAAACAATTACATAGTAAACCAGAGTGAAAGCCACTCACAAGAAACAACAACTAACAGGACCCTGTTAAAAAAAAGTGCATGTTCTGCATTGTGGTGCAAGCAACAGAGTTTTCAGTGTTTTGATCCAATTTCTGTAACTTAGAAAATAACCATGTGGGGAAAAAAAACCACCTTATTTCAGCCTGGATTAATATAAACTGAAGCTACTACATCTTCCATAAACCAAACAGTTGTAAAGTTTGCAAGAGTTTCTGCTGTAGTGATTGAAAAAACCATGTGACTGGTCAGCTCCAGTATGAGACCAGTGGAAGCATTACTTGGAATACAGAAATGCTTACTTTGAGGAAAATAAAGGAAAAAAAAAAGGAGAGGAAAAAAGAAATTTAACCCAGAAGTTATTTTGTAGATAATATTTTTGATATAAGTCATATTTCAGTTTTTAACTTCTCATGAACCTCAGTTACTGCAGTCTTCCCTGCAAGCACACTTACGCTCTCCCGTATCTGGGGGTCCAGGAGGTAATTGTAAGGGCAAAACACGATATCTGCGCCCACCATGTTACTTTGACGAAAATAAAGGAAAAAAAGAGAGAGGGAAAAAGAAATTTAACCCAGGAGTTATTTCGTAGATAATATTTTTGATATAAACCATATTTCAGTTTTTAACTTCTCAGAACCTCAGTTACTGCAGTCTTCCCTACAAGCACTTACACTCTCCCGTATCTGGGGGTCCAGGAGGTAATTGTAAGGGCAAAACACGATATCTGCGCCCACCATGAGTTCTCTGGCTGCAAAATAGGCACAGGCACGAAGCTTCTTCCCCAGGCTCACCAGGTCTTCAATATCCCAAGCCTGATACATCCCATGTGCAGACTGTAGAGCGTGGTGCTCACTGAGTTTATGAACACCATGGTAGTAAAGACAGGACTTACCCTGAATGCAAATAAGCACAGAGAGGTAGTGGTTAAAAAATACAGCAAAAATCAAGTAAGCTTAAACACTCCAAGCTGTTACATGCGTTTAGCTTTATCTCCTGGGAACATTTCTAACGGCTACTTTTTACATCAGAGAATAATAAAAACCACATCAGGTCAGAAAGAAAAGAGGCAAATCCATGTTCCTAAAACAGGCAGTGAAGGACACTTTCTTCTTCATCTACAAAAGCAAAAGACAATTTGAGTCTTACTAAGAATGTTAACCTAGAAGTCATAAATATTATTCCTATGGTAATTTTTTTTTGTATTGATACTATGTATCAACCTTTTCTAACAATTAATATTTAAACTAAATTATCACAAGGCATTTAAGGAGCAATGCATAAAAAAATAAAAAATGTTACTCATTCCAACTGTTCAACTGTGTTCCATTTTAACATGTTTAAATGAATGCTCATTTTCTGAAACATTACTCACATGTTTTCCTTCCAGCAACTCTACACACAGTTCGTTCCTGTTAGTACCACTGCTGGACACCACTGGATGAACACAGGTGTAATCCCGGCTAGAAAGGATGGTCATAGGGACACTGGAATACACTGTTCTCTTCAGCTCTCTGGTTATCTGGGATATCTGCTTGTGTGTTCGTGTTCCAAAAAATATTTTGGGAACAAAGGACTCATCTCCATTTTCTTTCTTCTTTGCGTTACTGGTGTCTTTACCAGTTTGCTTTGCAGAAGAACAGGAACACTCAGTGCAAAGGCTGGGAGACTGCAACCAAAGACAAAAACAACAACAACAAAAAATTCACAAAATCCCACTAAGTTAACATGGTAAATCTGCTTATTTAGAAAATACCCTCTAGGACAGTTCAGGACAGGCTGTTAAATCACCCAACGAACTGCAAAAGGTTCAAAAATGTTAAAGTATGCCATCATGTCCTCATGCCTGGACACATGAAAAAGCTTCTAGCAATCACTGGATACAACTTTATCATAATCCAGTCATAGAAAGAATTGTTGTACCAGTGGAGTATTTATACGTGTGAATAATGCAAGTAAACTTCTCACATCTAATCCTCAGCATGAGGATACTCCTGTTACAGAACAAAAAATGTCCAGCACCTTCAGTGAAAAACAGGTTGCACCTGACACCCAAATCGAATGAGAATGTTTCTCCTTAAAACAAGCAGAAGAAATCCAGACAGCTTCATGAAAGCTGTTTGCAGCTAGAACAGGCTATGTCACATACTCTCCATTAGAAACACGTTTGCCATGCCACTATGTGACAGGCCATCTAGTAACTATAAGAACAAAAGACACATAGGGAATAATTCTAAGCAGAACCTAATCCTGTAAAATTTTTTTTAAAAGCCCATTTTTTTCTTCATGAGAAGCACATACAGAATACTGGAACAACTCTCATGAAATTGTAATAACTGGTGTGACAAGACACACAGAAAACAACTCACAAGTATCCGTGTCCACAGACACCTCCCATAAAAAATAACAGATTCTTGTAGTGTAAAAGAGTTTGTATTTGGTTTTCTGGTGATAGTGCAAGTAACGACATGTAGCTGCCCACTTGAACACTCCTCCCTTGGCTTTTAATTGTAATCAGTAAGATTATCCCTCATAACCAGACAGTCAGGCCGTGTGTTACACCAGCTCTGGGGCTCAGGCTGCCTCTGCGCCTCCACTCCGGGGAGAAGCAAGTTCGTGTTACCCCGAGTCCCACTCAGCCTTGTCCACCATTAAATATTACAATACATGATAGAAGGCATGTGAATGTAACCCTTCTGGAGCTGTCACTCACTGGGATAAAAGGTGCACTGATGTGCCAAATAAACAGGCCCTCAAAGCAGCTAGAGTTACAGGCATGCTGGAATTGTTACCTTCCCCTCTCAGGTTGCCAGTAACAGCAGATTTCATTACGGTGTGCTGCCACATTAAATAGCCCGTTCCAAATATCCTGCCCTCAATATTGAATAATTACTTATTCACTGAAAGGATAAAAAGAAGAGTTATGAATGGGGCTCTTGTCACCAGTGAAGCAGGAAACAGCTGACATATGGTATATGTTACATACGTGGCCATGCTCAGCTCACACAGAACACTCCAATGCAAATGGTATCTTGATATTTCCACCGTCTATATTCTATTCCTCTCTTTGAAATAATGAAAACCACATTATCATGCTATCAATTAATATCACTGAAGCACTTACTGTCCACGGCCTTTAGGAACATGTTTAACTCCTCAATTTAATTCGAGTCAGATTGTGTTTTCAGAAGTAAAAAGGATATGCAAAATTCCAAGATGATGCTGTACCACTAATATTTCACTGCTAATGCTAAGACTCACGTTTAGATTACCAAATAAAAGAAACAGAAAAATATTAGGACCAACCAGGCAGCTGTTTTGCAGACGTCGCTCTAACAGGGAAATGCAGTTGAAATAAATATATACATAAACATGAACAGAAGGCTTTTCTATGGTGGGTTTTAAAAAACCCATATATATATCGTTTTTATGGAAAGGATTAAAAGTGTTCTTATGGGTAAAGCTTACAAATTACAGTATTTCACAGGTGGCCTTAAAAGTCTTTCTTAAAAGGTTTGAAATTGGTATAATACTGGCTTTGAGAAGCAATTTAGCCACTATTCCAGTTTTAAAGCATTACCTTGAACTATGAAAAATGTTTTTTAAAAAAAAAAATCAACATTGAGAAAGTCGTAAACTTAAAAATATAAAACTGCCTGTAGTAGTCATAACGTTTCTGAAAGCCACAGGCACCATTAGCAAAATACATAAATAAAATCTTTTTAGAAGGTCCTTTATAATGAAGAGAAATTTTTTTTTAAAAAGGTTATATTATAGTTTAAAAGTTGAGCTCTTCATGTTATTTGCACATTATTCACCTGTGTCAATTTGCACTTGAATTCTTTGTTATCCTGTAGAAAACAGTTCAGCCATTTTTAAATTTTATTATAAACAAACTATTTTAATTCTATATTTCTATAAAAAGCATTTACTGCATCACACAGCAAAATCTAACGTGGTGTTAATCTCCCACTGCACCAGCAAAAAGGAAGAGAATCTGGGATAGAGATTTTCATTTGAGAGAAGGGGGGAAAAAAAAAATGCTCCTCTACTTTGTGCAGTATTTAATCAGAAACATCCAGTAACAGATGCTCCTAGAGATCAGGTACCAGACTATATGGACCTTAGGCTAATCCAGCTTGTTTTTACTTCTGTCAAGGGTAGATAAAACAGCCTATCACATCAATATTTATCTGGCAAAACCACAGGAAGCCCGATGAAAAAAGGCATGATCAAGTCCACCAACCTGTCCTACGTGTAAAATCGAGCTAAACAAACACCAAGGCTATGATCTTTGAAACACAAAGAGGTAAGAGGAGTTCTTCATATCTGCATCTACATTTCCCAGTTACAAAGCCACCCGAATGATAGGGCCGTGAATACCTCTTGTGTGAAATATCACACAAGCACAATCTAGGAAGATATCAGCAGTGACATTACCAGAGCTTTTCAGCTATTCCTTTATGAGCTCTCAAAAGCCCAGTATTCTGCTGCTGCTGCAGCCTCTTCATTCAAGCACACAAAGCAGCTGTTTATCCTCTCACAGTAACCAGCAGGTGAACCCAGTTCAATATTTATCACAGGCTTTCACAGATCACTGCTAACCAAGCAAACGTTTTAATTAAGCTGGAACTTGCTTCAAAGAGCTCATTCAAAATGTCAATCAGCAAGAAAAGGATCAGATACGGTGTCAGGTGAGAGCATGTAATACAAATCCACAACTTTCTTCATCCCATCGTGGTAAATTAGCCTATTCTGGAGTCCAGACCCTGATTGTAACAGGCTGCCAGTCTCCTGGAATGTGTAACAGAAGTCACTCAAACTCCATTGTGAAGGTTGTAAGCAATATGTTAAACTGCAATGGGCTAGCACATTAAGACAGATTCTTTTCACAGTTGTTTTTTGATACCCCAAGTGTTTGTTACACTACTCTCCATTTACTGTTTACTTTTTTTACCTAGTATAAATGGGGATTCCTTAACCCAGCTGCCCCAGTTTCTCAGACTGTATGCTCTGACAGAAGTAATCAAGAGACTACCTTAGGGGAATAATTTCTCATCTGAACTCTCACTAGAATTGCCCTCTCTTGCAAAAATTAAGAGCAGAAGGACAAACAGATTCCCAGGCTCTGGACTGAAAGCAGCTAAGCACAAGCAGTCACCTTAGGCAGAAACTCCTCACCCACTGGATTTACAGGTGGTCTTCTCACACAGCAGTGCTGGGCATAAATAATGACAAAAAAGGCCTTGCTTTCTGCAACTGTTTCTTGATACCAGACAGGTTCTCAGTCTGCTAAAGTAAAAGTTCACTGCAGGAGAATAATACCTTCTTTCACTCTTAAAAAGAAACTTTTAACAAAGAAATAAACACACTCCTTTCATTCTGAAAAAGAAACTTTGACAGAAATAAACACTTATTTCTTCTAAGGTTACTTCTTTCTAAAGAAGCAGTAGAGTACAGCATTTAAATTCTCAGCTGTATACTGCACTGTCTATCTGCAAAACCAGCCCCACAGACAGCACATGATAACACACACTTACAGCTCAGCTATTGTTACCAAAATGAAGACTTTTCTTAGAAAATTCAGATTATGGTTCAGTATTTTACTATTTAATAGTTAGTTGATGCATACTAAAAGTCCTCTGTTTTCTTCACTACATGAAATTTGTAGAAGTAGTAAATCAAGTTTTTGAGATACCCACACGAATGTACCAAAACCAATTTTACAATCAAAGTAGTAAAAAGAAGTCTTTTTATTTGAAAATCAACAGCACACTCTGCTGGCCTTTGTATTTCAAACTATCAAGTGAAGTTCAGTAGCACAAAGCCTTTCAAATCCTAGTCAGAAATCTGTGGAGCTTTCCAAAACCAATAAAAATGACTTCCCATCAAATGACCTAGAGCACAGATTCACTTTTGTCAAGAAAAGATTTAGCTCCCAATGTTTTGAAGTCATACCAAAGCTTTTGGCTCCTTTTGTGTTTACACAGGCATAGGATACTGGAAAACTGCTCTTGAAGTTAGAAAGTACACTGATTAAGACAGAAGCTAATTTAGGACATACAAAGAGCCAAGTGCTGTTGGAAGAGGTGGAAAGAAAACTGAAACACTTGTTGAAACCAAGTGTTGAAATGTTGAAACATGCAGAAATCCCCCTGTACTACTTAGAAGCTAAGTTACCCACAGATGGGTATTACCACAAAACAACATTAAAAGAGAGTATATTGGAAAGGGAGAATGGTCTTTCTTTTTGAAAGAAGAAAGGATATTTCTGTAGTGAAGAAAGAAATGAAAGTCAGATCTCATTCCTTTCTTATGTTTGTCTTAGACAGTTACAAGATTCCATGACATGCTCCTATAATTTAATATTGACAAGAATTATTCTGTCACTATCTGCCTTTGATAAGCATCCAGGGGAACTACATCCATCACTAACCTAATCTGGCATTTGAAATTCATCTCTCTGCTGCCTCAGATTTCTTATTCTACTGGTTTTGCTTCAACAAACTTCTATGTAAAATTAATAACATTCAGACACCAAGAAATACAGAAAATGCCAAGCAGAAAGCTGCAGAAACAGCTGCATATTTGCATCTCAGGTTCTTATGTGATACTTCTGCTATGGAAAGTGGCAATTTCAAACAGAAACAAACAAAAAAAAACCCAAATTGTAAATCTATCACCATAACACATGGGATTTTTCCTCTTAATCATGTGCAATATTAATTTCTCATTTGTTGTTATAATATATTCTAATGATCAACTACAGCTTTTTCCATACTACTTTTTTAAGGACTCAAAGGCACACATGTTAACACTAAACACTGTCTTTTGTTTACTACATATGCCACAAAACAATCAATGGCAAGTTGAACAAAATCTACAAACTCTGATGTCACTTAATTTCCATGGTCCTAGTTCCAAGTTCTTCCCTAACCTCATAAATCTGTGTGTTATACCCCAGTTTATAGCAGAGTTATATGTGCTGTACATTTCCTGTCACATATTGAAAGGCTGAATTGCTGGGTCAGGTTCTGTGCTGTCAGGGAGCCACAGGGTAAAAGGGTTCAACCCACCAGTTAGAAGAACAACTTTCACAGAAATAGCTTACACTTTACAAACCAAATTGGCTAGAGAGCACCACGAGCAGTAAAAGCCACCACAGTTCTTGCTAGTGACACCGTATTGCTTTAAAGCAACTTACATACTTGGGAACCTTTAGATTCAGTTGTAATGCAGCCAGAGGTATAGTTTTCTGAGACTATACCAACAAGCTGCATTTCATGCATCATCTCTTTCCAGTTAATAGTTTTTTTTAATTGCTCTTGAACTAACAGTCCTGATGGAAATGCTATGTTACTATATTGCTTACCATTTTGGGAGAAAAAGTAGTGGTTTTCACACTTTTTTCAGAGTGAACAATCAGCTCTCCATTTTTTCTCTGATGATAAACTTCTAAAGCATCAACCAGCTGCACTCCTTTTGCAAAACAATGACGTTTTCTGACCTGCTGGGGAAAAAAGTTCTGTGTTGAGAAGCACTGGACAGAAGCATGTGCTCACACTGGCAAGCAGTGACTCCACTGCAACTGTTTTCCATGGAGTCTGCTCCACTAACACCACACCAGTAATATTTGTTAACAGTTTAATCAAATCTAAGCCATGCAGAAGTCATCTGGGAAAAGCTATAAAGTTTTAATTCTAAAATTCTGTAACAACAACAAAAAAAATCTGTAGTCATTGCTGAGCTTTTATCTAGTTTTACTGTTAGAAAACTGGTAGAAATCATAATACTCTATAGATATAAGCAGATAACTTCTATACCTAAACCAAGAAATGAATTCAAGCCAGATTGATCTAAAAACTTAAACAAAAGTAGTCATCTGAGCAAAACTCCAAAGCCATAGAAAAGCTATTCACAGTGCACACCTGTGTACAGAGACCAAGGCAGGTGACACCAAAACTGACAGAGATAAAAACGTGACAGAAATATTGCACTCCACATAGCAGGCCAGAGATGACAACATCTGACAGGGCATAAAGCAGAACTCTAACACAGTCACATATTATTTGTATTAATAATACATATTTGCAAGAGCACTTCCAACTCTATAATCTCATACTTTGCCTTAATGCTACAGATCACCCAGGGATAAATATATTTTGGGGATATTAGGTGTTTAAATACACAAGATGTAATTTAGGACGTGGCATTATGGACAACTTAGTGTAACAATGGACTCTTTTGTAAGAGGTAACAATAAAAATGAACAAAAACCTGTCAGTCTATGCCATGATTGTGACATGACTCAACTGTTCTCCATGCCCTTCTCTGACATGTTGACTGGCATTTGACAGCTTTATTGAGCCACACTTGGATTACGTTACTGCCAATAACCTTTGCTCACCTGCTGCTCAGTTTCCAAAGGACGAATCCTTTTCCTGTCTACCTGAAAATCGTCGCTGTCTTTGTCACACAGAGATGACTTTTTTTTGGCAGACAGTTTCGAAGCCAACGTTTCGTTTTCCTTACGCTCTGTAATGAAAAATAGAACAAAATAAGAAGTACATCCACTACTAGGAATGCATTAAATGAGGCCAATATTTTAAAAATAGTTTACTATAAATACACATGATGTAGGAAACAGGATTAGACATTTCCAGGTTCATTAATCATTTCCATACAGCGTTGCATGCAGGGCAGAATCACATAGTACTCTGTTATTATGACAGAAATAAAAGCCCTCAATTTAAAAGTAAAACAAATTGAAATCACTGGCTACACGTTTCACTTCCAGAACAGTTTTTAGTATGAAGTTACCTGTGCTTGTTCGTGGGCTTCCAGGTTTCACAGAACTTCCTGTTTCATGATTATTAAAGGAACAAGAGGCACCATGACTCCCACTCGCTGCAGCCTCGTTGCTCCTCGACTGGGAGTGGCAGGCGCAGCGACACGGCGCTGAGGTCTCCAGCTTTCTCTCTTCCTTTTCACACGAGGATGAAGGCACTGGCTTCTCTAAAGGACACAGCCATTCGTCTTCCAGTAAAAACTACTCAAGCCTATACATGAGAACTAGACTTTCCAAACAGTTAAGACAAAAGCTTTTGTTTAGGTACCAGTTACTGTGTCTCTACGCAGGCTGAACCAGGCACCATCACCCTCTGAAGAGCTGCAGTGCAAAGAACTGTAACAACGTGCCAAAATGAAAAATATTGCTCTTTTTCAAGTCACCCTGCATAGCTACAATCCACAAGCGCTTTCTTTCAAAGCTCCAGCAGCCATATTAATCCCTTTATGATAACAGATAGCTGAATCCAGCTTAGTATTACTGGCCATGACTGGTTTATATTGCCAATAAGGCAAAATGCATAATAGTGGACAAAGGCCTGGTTGGATTCCTGAAGCTAAATGTTTAAAGGCTGATGAACAACAGCAATTCATTAGAATACATTTTGGCAACACAGCCTGGGCAAACAGGCACTGTGCAACTTACCATACAGAGACTGCTGCCACGATAACGCAGAACACAGCAACGCCAAGCTCTTGCCACTTCCTGTAGGGCTCTCCAGCAAACAGTGCTGCCTGTTATTTAAGCCCTTCACAATCTTTAAGAATAATAAGAACAAACCCAGAATTAGCATTAAAAAAAAGAGGATGACTTTAGTGAAGCTGCAGCTTCTATAAGTAGATCAGGATCCCTGCTCCCTTGTAAAAAAAAGGAAAATAAAGCCAAAACCACCCCCCAGTCACCTTTAATAACAACAGGTCAACAAGCCTTGGCTGTATTCCTCTCCAGAGGAACGTGCCTCCTTAGCAGTGCTCAGGGGTAACTTACAGGGGCTGTGAAACACTTACCTGCTAACAGCACTACCTGATGGGACTAGCTTGTTTCCCTTAGTCTTACAAAACATTGAAAACGTGTCAGGCAACCAAACCATTTGTTCCACAAAGGAAAAAAATGTTTCAACATGGTTAAAACTGTTAATAGAGATTCTACTTACAGCGTTCATCATAGCAAGCTGTGAAGGGTAAGCCTTGCAAGGGAAGATGATCTTCACTCCCCCAATAGTATATTCTGACACATCAGAAGACATTGTCACTTTTTCTTCCTGTTGACTTCAGGTTTAGAACTGCAGTAAAAACCAGTATTAACAAGTCAACACTAACAACCAGGCAAAGCCCAAAACAATATAGGACATCAAGCAAAAACAAGCAGAAACTGTCAACTTGGTAAGGGGGCTCCCCTTATAAGGCATCGTAAATGACAAAGATACAGCAGAAAAAAGTTGCTTGTACTGTTCATTTGCAGCAATGAGAAAACTGGATGTTGACTTTAGAAAGGAGATGTTTTAAATTAACATTCTTCTGCTAGTAGTATAGTAATTATTCATGGGAAAATGAGGTGTCAGTCACTTTACTATTCTGTATTATCTTGCATTTCTCATGCTCTGGATAGCAACAGAAAGTCAGCTTCCCTATCATGCTAAAATGTTGAAATTCTTGAATTAAAAACAGAAAAGAGACATAGAACACTTAAAAACAAACCCCAAAAAAATGACTTTTTTTAAGTGGCACAAATTTTTTTCTTGTAGCTTTTCAGCATCTACAAAATAAAAGAGTAATTTTAGAGTGGCAGACTCCCTGTGACAAATGAACTCACTAACTTGTGTCCTCACCTGACGAGTAACCACACACGTCAGTATATCCATGATTCATCAGTGTATGGCATGATTCAGCTCCATCATCAACTTGCTCAACAAGAAAAAGAAATCCCAGCAAAAAGACTGCTACTATGAGCTCACATCCCACCCTTCCTTCCACAAACGGATCCGCATTGCCCTAGAGGGTTTCCCTCAACTCGTAAAGGGGGCGGGGGAGGGATCGCTCAAACCAGCGCTTCTTGGAACTGGGCTTTGCCCAAGGAGCCAGCGAGGCCCGGGCGGGGCGGTGGGGAGGATTCGACACCGAAGCGGGCGGGAGGCGGCAGCGGTTCGGGACACGGAGGGGCCGCTTCGCTCTGGGCTGCTCCGCTCCGCCCGGCGGCGCTTCCAGGACGGAGGCC